TTACCCAGGCTGGAGTGCAATGGCGCGATCTCGGCTCACCGCAACCTCCGCCTCTCGGGTTCAGGCAATTCTCCTGCCTCAGCCTCCTGAGTAGCTGGGATTACAGGCACGCAACACCATGCCCAGCTAATTTTTTGTATTTTTAGTAGAGACGAGGTTTCACCTTGTTGTCCAGGATGGTCTCGATCTCTTGACCTCGTGATCCACCCGCCTCGGCCTCCCAAAGTGCTGGGATTACAGGCTTGAGACCGCGCCCGGCCACCTTTACCTTTTTATGAGACAGAGTCTTGCTCCATTGCCCAGGCTGGAGCGCAATTGCATGATCTCAGCTCACTGCAACTTCTGCCTCCTGGTTTCAAGCAATTCTCCTTCCTCAGCCTCCCAAGTAGATGGGATTACAGGCTCACTCCACCACGCCTGGCTACTTTTTTGTATTTTTAGTCGAGATGAGCTTTCACCATGTTGGCCAGGCTGGTCTTGAACTCCTGACCTTGTGGTCCGCCGCCTCGGCCACCCTAAGTGCTGGGATTACAGGCGTGAAGCACTGCGCCCGGCCTCACCTTTACCATTTTTAAGTGTAAAGTCCAGTGGTGACGGATACATTTGTATTCTTTTTGTCGTTGTTACCCTCTCCCCTTCGCTTCCTGGCCTCTGGTAGCCACCATTCTCTCTACCTTCATGAGGTCCACCTGCCAGCTCCTGCATGTGGGTGAGAAATGGCAATCTTTGTAATGCCCTCCAGTTCCATCCAGGTGGCTGGAAGTGACAGGACGTTATTGCTTTTATGGAGGCGGGGTCTCCACTGTGTGTATGTGCTATGTTCTCTCTATCCGCCCATCCACTGATGGGCAGGTAGGTTCACTCCACACCTTGGTTATTGTGAATTGTGCTGCACAAATCGTGGGAGCACAGATATCACTTTGATACACTGATGTCCTTTCCTTTGGGTGTAAACCCAGTAGTGAGATGGATGGATACTATGAAAGTTCTCTTTTTAGCTTTTTTTTTTTTTTTTTTTTTTTTTTTTTTTTTTTTTTTTTTTTTCTTGAGATGGAGTTTCCCTCTGTAGCCCAGGCTGGAGGGCAGTGGCGCCATCTGGGCTCATTGCAACCTCCACCTCCTGGGTTCACAGGATTCTCCTACCTCAGCCTCCATAGTAGGAATTTTCCCTCTTTGACACAAGGGCCCTTCTTGTCATTGACCTCAGCTAAACCATGACAATTCATAAATAGAGGAAACATTAATGAATTAAAAGCTTGCTTTATTTTTGTAACTAATATTTGCACATTTTCTTAGTCTCTTTCCAAGTCCTTGGGAATTATAGGTGCACGCCACCGTGCCTGGCTAATTTTTCTATTTTTTAGTACAGACAGGGTTTCGCCGGGTGGCTAGCCTGCTTGCAAACTGCTGACCTCAAGTGATGTGTCTGCCTCGGTCTCCCAAAGTGCTGGGATTACAGGCATGAGCCACCACACCTGGCCTCTTTTTAGTTTTTTTTAAGACCTTCCATACTTTTCTTCGTAAAACATATTTACATTCCTGCCGACAGGGTACCAGTGTTCTCCTTTCTCTACCTTCTTGCCAGCATTTGTTTTGCCTGTCTTGCAAATAAAAGCCATTTTAATGAGGTGAGATGAAAACTCATTGTAATTTTAATTTGCATTTCTCTGATGATAAGTGATGCTGAGCACTTTTTCATAGACGTGATGGCCATTTGTATGTGTTGTTTGTGGAGAAATGTCTGTTCATGTCTTTTGCTCTTTTTTAATTAAATTATTTGTTTTATTGAGTTGTTTGAGCTCCTTATATTTCTAAGTTTTTGTTTGTTTGGGGATGGAGTCTCGCTCTATTGCCCAGGCTGGAGTGCAGTGGTGCCATCTCGTCCCACTGTAAACTCTCCCTCCCAGGTTCAAGGACCCTCCTGCCTCAGCCTCCTGAGTAGCTGGGATTACAAGCATGTGCCACCATGCCTGGGTAATTTTGTATTTTTAGTAGGTACAGGGTTTCTAGTTATTAATCCCATCTCAGATGCATAGCTTCTGAATAGTTGCTCACATTCTGTGGGTTGTCTCATCACTTCTTTGCTTTATCTTTCGTGGTGCGGAAGTTGCTTAGTTTGATGCAATCCCAATGGTCTAGTTTTTGCTTTGATTACTTGTGTTTTTCAGGTTTTAGACAAAATGTCTTTTCTCATGCAAATGCCCTGGAGCATTTCCCCAATGTTTTCTTCTACGCATTTCATAGGTTCAGGCCTCAGACTCATCTTTCATCCATTTTCATTTGATTTTTGTGTATGGTGAGAGGTAGAGGTGCAGTTTCATCCCTCTGCGTGTAGATACTGTTTTCCCTGTACCGTTTATTGAAAAGACTGTCCTTTCCTGAGTGTAGGTTCTTGGCAGCCTTGCCAAAGTCCATTGGATGGGCTGTGCATGGTGGCTCACACCTGCCATCCCACCACTTTGGGAGACCAAGGTAGGTGGATCACCAATGGCCAGGAGTTCCAGAACAGCCTGGCCAACATGGTGAAACCCCTTCTCTACTAAAAGTACAAAACTTAGCTGAGCACAGCGGTTGGTGCCTGTAATACCACTAGTTGGGTGTCTGAGGCAAGAGAATTGCTTGAAACCAGACACAGGGAGGCTCTGTTTCAAAAACTAAAATTAAAAAACATGTAAATATTATGTAACACACACAAATGACAAAGGCACCTGAATTCCAATCATCATTTTCTACTTCTCTATAATTACTTTATTGATCCCTAATCTTATCCATAGAAAATCAGCCTGGAACCTCTTCCCTATTTGGCTTTCTGTGAGCATGAGATCATATGGAAAATGGGAAAGCCCTCGACCCACCAGCACAGGTCCTGAAATAAAGAAAGTGCTCTATTCATGGCATAAAAGTTGCCCCCTCACCCAAATCCCCCACCCCACCCCTACTTCCAATCACGTGTGGAGATACAGATAGATTATGGGGAGGTAAAAACTAACATTCTTTGGAGTGAGCTCAGTTCTTGGACTCAGAGACCAATGCCAGCGCTATCTCCTGGTCCCCTTTCCTACTAATTCACAGAAGGACAGGCTGGATTTTGAAGCGATAGATGATGGAGGGGGTTGTTCCTCCCCTGCCTCTCAGGTAGAACAGCAGCCTTTTGTACGTCTCACGAGATCACAAAAAGTAACACGTTGCCCACGGGCTTCCGCACTATTTCCTGGCTGCTTGATATAAGACAGTTCAACTTCACTTCTTTTGATTTCGATTTCACTTTTTTTCCTTTTCTTGGAGAATGTAATTTGTTTGAGTCAAGAGTGTTGTGGATGTAGAAGTTGTAAAGCACGTTCACTGTGTATCCATCCCAGCCCAGTCTTCCTAGAGAAGACTCTGAACGCTTCCTGGACTGCACCTGGGGCCATGCCAGTTTCTATCACTGACAGTCACTCCAGGGAGACAGAACACAGACAGAATAAATTACATACAGCAGGTTCATTACTCACAGATCAGCAGCAAGTGACAACAGAAGCCTTCCTTTCAGTGTGAGCCAGTCCCCCGAGGCTCAGAAAAGCTGCCCAGGACACACGGAGTCACCCCATATGCAGTGTAGCTGGGGGAACCGAAAACCAGCCCTGCCTGGGTTTTGCACCCTGGAGCCACAGGAGACACTGAGCTAAAGCACTGCATCACACCCTCCTCTAGGAAGAGCAGGAGGAGAGCCCAGGCTGTTCTGAGACGTTGCTCCTGATCTCAGGGCGTTGCTGTCTTGGTCCATTTTCGTTGCTATCAAGGAACACTTGAGCCTGGGTAACTTCTAAAGAAAACAGATGTGTTTGGCTCACGGTTCTACAGGCTGTACTAGAAGTATGGCATCAGCTTCTATTGTTTGTGACGCCTCAGGCTGCTCCCACTGTGGCAGAAGAGAAGTGAGTGTGTGTGTGCAGAGACCACAGAGATCCCACGGCAAGAGAGGGAGCAGGAGGCGGAGGTGCGATGGAGCTTCCAAGTTCTCTGTCACAACCCACTCTCCAGGAACTAGTAGAGGGAAAACTTGCTAATCTTGTCTCATGGGGACAGCATTAATCTATTCATGATGGATCCACCCCATGAACCAACCACCTCCCACTAAGCCCAACCTCCCACACTGGGGGTTAATTTTCAACGTGAGGGTTGAAGGGGATCAAACATCTACACCAAAGCAGTTGTATCATCAGCTATTTCTGTGGTTACTATGAGAACTGTAACTGACAAAGCAGGAGAAAGCCGGGTCGCCCGCCGTCTGGGTGCTTGTCCTAAAAAGACATTGTACGTGGTTACCTGCCAATCAGGAGATGAGAGACAATCCAGGAAGAGGAACTGCTGTGGTGAGCTTCTTATTGGATTCCCATCTTCCTCCAGGTAGCCCCAGACACCTGCACGTTCTGATTGGGACCTCAGTGGTCATCATCCCCTTCATCATCATCATCTTCTTTCTCATTCATCGCTGGTGGTCCAACAAAAAGAGTAAGTCTCACGAAGCAGAGGCCAGAGACCTCAGGGCCGTGTGGGGAAGCGGGATGGGAGCACACAGGTGTGTGTTCCTCATTGGCAGGATGGTCTCTGGCCCAAGGCAGGAGCCGCAGAGGCAGGGCTTTCTAGAGAGAGCACCAGACACCCTGCCCCTGCCCTCAGCTCACAGACCTTTGCATGATCCTGAACTGTATCCTCACGTCCCTGCAGCCACTGACATCAGGAGAAGGTTCCATGACAGGCAGAAAGTGGGAGACAGAATCAATGGATGGGAATTGAGAGCTCCTGATGGGAGGGGTCCTTGTACTCAGAGAGATAGAATGTGTGAGTCAGGCTGTTGGCAGCTGAGGGGCCTCAGGCACCCATGGCTTCCCCCTGTGTGTTGATGTCTGCACATGAAATGAGGACCCAGAAGGGCCCTCCCAGGGGTTTTGATGACTTCTGTCTCCTACAGATGCTGCAGTAAAAGACCAAGAGCCTGCGGTGGACAGAACAGTGAACAGGGAGGTAGGTCCTCCTTGGCCCAGCCTCAGGGATCACGTCTTATTCCCTAATAGTCCCGAAGAATGTGAGCCCCTCCCTCACTCAACATTTCCATCTCCCCAGGACTCTGATGGACAAGACCCTCAGGAGGTGACATATGCACAGCTGGATCACTGCGTTTTCACGCAGAGAAAAATCACTCGCCCTTCTCAGACACCCAGGAGACCCCCAACAGAAACCAGTGTGTACATGGAACTCCCAAATGCGGAGCCTGGATTGCTGTCTTCTGTCCATGAGCACCACAGACAGGCCTGAGGGGGTCCTCTAGGGAGACAATAGCTCTTTCTCAATACACTTGCCAGCTCCAATGGAACAGCAGCTGGGACCTGAAGACGTCAGTCTCCATCTTAGGGGATTGCTCTTCCCCATACCGTGAATCTGAACGTCGCTCTCTCTTGCTTACAAATGTCTGCGGTCCTCACTGCCTGCTGGACAGAAAACACACTCCTTTGCTTAACACAGAATTCTCCATTTTACTTGACCCCTGCCCACCTCTCCAACCTAACTGGCTTACTTCCTGGTCCTACCTGAGGCTGTAGTCACACTGAGGAACTCACAAGTCCAGACATACAAGAGGCTCCCTCTTAACACAGCACTTAGACACGTGCTGTTCCACCTTCCCTCATGCTGTTCCACCTTCCCTCACACTTTGAGGGATTTTGCAGCCTTCTGTCATCAGTAAAATTTTTAAGTTCTTTTTATATATAATTTCAATGTAGTTCTCTTCAAATAAACACATCTGCCCTCATGAGTTAGGTAATGTGACTCTTTTTTTGCCTGAACTTTTGGTGTTATCATGACTATGTCCATATAACCCCCATGTTCTCCACTGGGTTCTCACCCCTGGACTGGGAGCTTCTGGAAGCAGGTGGAGCCTGGTGTGTCCCTGGGACTCTAATTTCCATCCAAAGATGCAGCACAGGGGAGGTTCCGAGGATCGTGAATCAGATGGACAAGTGCTATTCTTACTCTCTGCAGACCTGGAAAGCTCGCAGAGTAATTCCAAGACGAAACATCTGCAGGGTCATCGCCCTTGTTAGTCTCATCTCCATGAGGACACTTATCAAAACATCATCTTTCAGACTGTAAATATACAGTCGGTCTTCCATATCTGTGGGGTTTACAGCTGTGTATCAAACCAACGATAAACAAAAAATATTCAGAGAAAAAAATCCACAAAGTTCCAAAAAGCAAAAGTATGTTGAATGGACCCAAGTGAAGCTGTGCGTAGCCTGTATCAGGAATTATAAGTCATCTAGAGAGGATCTGACGTACACAGGAGGATGTGCAGGGTTACTTGCACTCACTAAGCGATTTCATGTAAGAGGCTGGAGCATCTGCAGATTTTGGCATCTGAGTGAGGATCCTGGGACCAGTCACCCAGAAGAGTGAAGGACAACTGTATGTAATTTTTATTTGTCAATTTTACAAATAAATCATATAATATTTACAATAAGAAGATAAAAAAGCAGTGTTTTCATAAGGTGAGAATACATTTACATTTATTTTTAGACAAGTAACTCTTTGGTCCAGTGTCATTTATTGAGAAGACATTCTATTCCACCTTAAAGCACATGGCAGCCTTTGTCAAGTATAAAGGGACTGTGTGTGCACGGATG